ATTGGTACATCTCTCTTCTAAAATTATTGTCTTGCTTCTGATTTTGCATTACGCATTTTCATACCTGTATGCAAACCATTACAAATGCATAACAAAAATGTCTGTTTTGAAAGTCTGATACTAATGATAGCACAACTCTGATAAATGAGTCTCGTGCAACAAAATAGAGGACTCTAAAAACTGCATGTTCTTTTATTGTACAGTATGTTGAGCTGCCTCATCCAGCGCATTCATGCCAAGCATTTAATAGAATACAAGTTCATAGAGACGCCACAGGTAAAATCTGTGGTGGTGAATGTTTCCGGATCTCCTGGTGTCATTGACACTCTGTAAACAGAAAAAAGAACGAGAACACAATCGTGCACCCAGAATTTATCTTCTTTGATAAAAAGATGTATTTAATACACTATTTAATTAGTTTTCTAAAATATTTAACACAAAAGTTAAGAAGCAATACAAGTGCTTTTCAAATTCGAGAAGGTTAATTTTGTAGTTATCTTAGTTTCAAGAGCTAGAGACTGGCTGACTTGCTATTGTTACAGAGATTTTGAGACAGCATAATTACCTGTTAAATAATTTTAAAATTAATATTCATGAAACTTACAACAGCTTTGTGTTTTTCTCTGTGAATAAAATTATCCTAATTTTCTTTCTTTCTTTCTCTTTTTTTCTTTTTTTTGGTCTTTTTGAGACAGGGTCTCCCTGTAGCCCCAGCTGTCCTGGAACTCACTATGTAGACCAGGCTGGCCTTGAACTCACAGAGATCCATCCTAATTTTCTAACAACATCCCTTTTATATTAATGAAACCAAGGATTCCACTTACAAAATATGAGGCAGAAATTCTTAGAAAAGACAAACCATAACCTGGGGATAAATGCTCTTCTAAAGGCAAAGATTCAGGTAGGACAAAGGAAGGTAAATGTAAAATCTTTAATTTTATTGATTTATTTTCACGGTGCGTGTGTGTGTGTGTGTGTGTGTGTGTGTGTGTGTGTGTGTGTGTGAAGTCAGGGGACAACTTGTGGGGGTCAGTTCTCTCCTTCCACCACGTGGTTTCCAGGGATTGAACTCAGGTCATCAAGTTTAGCACCAAGTACCTTTACGTGCTGAGCCATTTCACCAGCCCAAATTCTTAAATTTAGAAAGGCTCTAATAAGAAGTCACATTATCCCAGGATAGGATTCTAAAACTTCATTGAGACTAATTAAAAACCACTTTAAGGAGATTTATGGTTTAAACTGTCTTATTTTCCTAAAACAGCAAAATTTTCCCAATTTTATTTGAATAGACTAAACCACAATCTGCTGTTTGTTTAAATGTTCCTCATTATCTGCAATAGGTCCAAATGACTTTCTTTTTACTATGAAGTATGTGTTACTATTTCCATTTTATAGATGAGGAGATTAAAGTAGAGATATGAAGCAACTTGGGGAGTCAAAATTTAAAAAAAAAAAAAAAAAGACCAAGAACCAAAAAGACTTTGGATTGAAAATTGCAAGACCACCTTCTAATGCTAAGTAAATTTCTTTGACTCAGAGACCTGACTTTTCATCTATAAAACAGAAAATACTATCCACCTCTCAAATAGTTCCTGGAAGACATAAAGGATCCAACAGAATAGTACCTCAGTAGCCACCCAACACGGGGCCCTCCCACCAACCCACCATCCCATTTTTCTCACTTGGTACTAGGGACATCTACTCAATCCATAATGCTATTGTGGCGGGGGATTCATTTGTTCTCTGGCTCCCTTACTCCAGGTCTCAAAATGACTAAGTAGTTGAGCCACAGTCAAATCCAAATATTGGTTCCACTACAGAACTGCCTCTGTACACACATTTTATTTATAACACTAACTTAAATATTTGCTGAACCTGCCTACTTAATCAGTGACACTAATGTGTCCCAAATAAAAATCGAACTCATTTCTAGGGTAGTTTTATCTTTCAATAATCACCCCAAAATATTAAAATACCTCATTTGAAAATATATGCCTGTCCAATAATACTGCTACTAGAATTTCTGCAATATATCCTTAATAATATGTTAACTATTACAACCTGAAAGACCGTTAAAGTATATTCTTTAGGACAATACATGTCTAGACATCTAAATGACTCTGCTCAGGCTGGCTTCAAAGATACTCGGTAGACTTTTCATTTTTCACTTTTTCTATCTTCTCCCAAATAAAAACGTCAGATAGCAAATGTGGTCAATGAATAGAGATATGCATAGATAAAACAGGCGAGTGAAAAATATGGACCAGATCTGCATTTGTGAGACAATGACCTTCAAAACTGGCACAGAGCTATTAACAATGTTCTTCACAGGGGAGCAATTACACTCCAATCCTCCTATGTATAACTTGTACTTCTCCTGCTCTACAAATACATTTACATACCAGGAAGAATGAAAGAACAGTCTGGTAACTGTGAGAACCTTCTCTGCAAAGATACAAGGCATTCTGGCTACCTTAATAATCACATCCTAAAGGCCAAATCAGTGTAACTGCAGCATTGTGACATGCTGCTTAACCAATACCTTGACAGAGCTGCCTTACAATTGAAATCTACCATACATGGCCTTCAGAATGATGCCAACCCATTGACATGTTTCTAATTCTGTAAGTGGTCTCTGATTATCTCAAAAGTCATTTTTAAAAAATCTTTCTAAGATAGACTGTTTAAGTTAAAATATCACATATAATTCTTTGAGAAAAGGCATTCCAATTATCACTAAAATATTTTTAATGTACAGTATTGCCATCCTTAAAATATTGGGAAGGATGTTGACCTGAATAAAGAGCTCACTCAACCTTTCCATGTTAAAAGACTGTACCCAGTGTTTAACACATAAGCATACATGTGCACACACACATACACACTCACACTGTAGAAATAGGAGGAAAGTTGCTAAGGAAAACTCAACCTCTAAATGCCTTTTTAAAAGCTATATTCTAAAAACATTAGGTTCATATAGATATTGTCTTTTTTCAAACCTTTCCTCCAATGGGTGAAAAAAAAAGTAGTGTCAAAGAATGACTCTGTGTGTGTGTGTGTACATAAGAATCACAATGCATAATCATTAACACATCTAGACTGTACATACTACAGTGGCCATGCTTAATTTTTATAACATTAAATTATAACATAAACTAAGGGTCATAAGAAAATAAACACAACCACAGCAGATGCAGTAAACATAAACCCAGTAAGTCCTACTTAACTTAAAAATATGCTCATTCTCAACACAATAAAAACCACCCACAATTATGATACCAATCAACCTCACAGATTCCACTGGCTGAGAAAAATAACACGTTTCTTTATCATGATACCTTAAAACCATCAATAATTTCTACTGAGGTAATGTTTCATTTGTACTCTATACTTTGGTAAAAGTTAATGATCTGTCTGAGAAATTTCATTCCACCGTGCATCACAAAAGTATTCTTAAGGTTTATGAAGTCTAAAGCTCACACAGCCCTTGACAGGCTATTGTACAAATGCTTTAATTTTTAAAACAAAAAGATAAAGACCTTAAAAGCTCTTGACATTGTACTCAAACGACAAAGATGTCAAATCCACGTTTCCTCATCCTCCACCAAAACAAAACAAAACAAAAAAACAAAAACCTGTACATGGCCCAAAGATACAATAGAAACAAAAAGTAGCATGCCTCTCACTGAATCGGGAATAATACGTATCATTTCTCTATTGCAGACAACTACAAAAACCCTTTCACTTGGTGGCCAGCATCTTTATGAGTGTCTAATCTGTATTAAGTGGCCTTCAAAAGAAATATTTGTGCTCTATCTCTACCCTCATGTCTCTTTGGCAGCAGTCAGCACTTGGGCCTTGAGCTGCGGGGGGAGGGGGGGGCTGAGCTGGGCACAGTCAGCAGAGAGCAGCTGCTCAGACACTATCCAGTGTCTTTCTCACACGTCGCTGTTTTGTGCTATTGAGCATTGTCAGCAAAATAAATAAATTAAATAAATAAATAAATAAATAAATAAATAAATAGTAGGACCCAGGCACGCACATCTGAGTCTAGAAGCCTCTGTTGTTTTCTTGCTGCGAAGGCAAGGGATCGGGTGAGACCCCTCCGGGTCCAACTCAATTTGCTTCTCCACAAAGAGCAGTTTGTGGCGGAGAGCACAGGGTCCTCGGGCTGAAGAACTAAAACCCGAGAGCACCGCGGTTGCTTTCAATCGCTGACTTTGGAAAGGAGAGACTGCATTCCTGGGAAGGACTACTACTCTTGACGCGCCACACAGCAGTAGTGAAGGGACACAAGCAAGGGGTTGTAAAAACCCTTTCAAACACGCCAGGTTCTCAAAGAAATGCTGTGCAAGCATTATCGTATTGTTGGCGTTTTTTCCTAAGTCACCGATTCTTTCTAGCCGCTGCCAACCTTTAAACCGCTAGGACTTGTTGCTAAATCTTGACCTCACGCCCCCACCCCTGAAATAGCCAACACATTTGGATGGGGGTGATCAAAAGACTGGCGGGGGGCTACATCTCGAAAGCCCGGAGGGCTGGGCTCCTGCCATAGGCCACTCTGCATGGGCTGCGCGTTCCGTCCTACCTTCCGAGAGCTCTGACTCACAAATGCTCAGGGAGAAATTATGACATAAACCTTTATCCTTCCATCCAGAGAGATAAGAAAGGGTGGCCAGCGGGCCTGACAGGGCCCCCCGCTCCCCGACGGGGCGGCCCGGGTAGCAGCCTCCAGCCCCGCTACCTCACTTGGGACGCCTGCGGAAAGGGCTGCCGAGCCGGGCGGGCCAGACGAGCCCGGCCCGCAGAGCACGCGGCAGAGCCGGGTGTGGGACCCGCGACACACCGCGGGGGTACCCGGGCCGAGGCTCGCGCCCGACACGGTGCGCCGCAGCCGCGGACGGACAAAGCGCGACGCTGGGGCTCGGGCGACCCCGGGCGGCGGCCAAGTTGGGCCGGCTAGGCAGCGGGGTCCCGCGGGCGGGCGGCGCGCCGCTGACCTGGATGGTGCAGGTGTACTCGCTGTCGTCCAGCAGCCGCACGGTGCAGCTGTATTCGCGCTCCAGACTCCTGCTGCTGCCGCTCATCAACCTGCTCAGCATCTTCCCGCCCGCTCGCCCGTCCCCGGGAGCGACGCGGCGGCGCTGCGGACCCTGGACCAGGCGCCCTTCAGCCCGGCAGCACAGCGCCGGCCACCGGCACCTGCACCATCACCCTGGCCCGATCCCCGCCGCTGCCTTCTCCCGCCCCACTCCTCCTCCACCTCCTCCCCTTCCAGAGCCACCACCGCCTCCCCCAGCCTAGTGCAAGTGCTGGGTCCGCTCCCGGGAGCCCCACTGCCCGTGCCCAGCTCACGGGGCGGGGCCTCAGCGGAGGGGGCCAATGGGGATCAGCGCGGCGGAACTGAGTAGCAGGGGAAGAAGCCAATCGAGATGGGGATCCTGGATGATGAACGGGTTGAGGAAGCAATCAGCGCAACCCAATCGTACCCAGCCCTGCCAGACCAGCCCTCCAGCGCCCCAAGCCCTTGCTCGCTCTTCCCCCGGTGTTGCCTGAGGATGCGGTTTGTCCTCCGCCCAGCCCTCGTGGATACCTGACAGAATCGATGTCCGTTTGCGGGGAATAACGTTTGAGCAGTTTCAGGGGCAAGTCCCACTCCCTGCGATGCACGATTCTGCCCCCTTGGGAGCCAGGGAGAGGAAAAAGCATCCACAGCTCCAGACCAGGCGGCTGCCCCAACCTGTGCAGTGCCCGAAGTCGGCTCCGTGGGCCTCCTGCTTCGCGCCCCTTGTTTTGGTGAATGTCCGCTTTAGTGTAGCTACTTAAACTGTTGGAACTGCAGAGGCTCTAAGTACCTGGGTTTAGTCCCTAGAAAACACTACGCTCTAACAACCTCTGCCTCGTACCTTTTATTTTAGAAGACAAAAGGAGATTGGGATGTGCTTCTTCAGCTGGTAAGGAACAGGACCTGATGGGCCTTTCCTTGCACCTTTAAAAAGAAGTATTGCCGGGCGTGGTGGAGCACGCCTTTAATCCCAGCACTCAGGAGGCAGAGGCCGGAGGATCTCTGTGAGTTCGAGTTCAAGGCCAGTCTGGTCTACACAGTGAGTTCCAGGACAGCTGGGGCTAAAGACCCTTGTCAAAAAAAAAAAAAAAAAAAAAAAAAAAAAAAAAAAAAAAGGAAGTATTACATCTTCAGATTTCCTAAACAAAACACAATAGGTCTGAGCTCAGCATCACAAAGAAAAGGAAAAAAAATGCCTCCTTTCCTGTGTCCCCCACATTTACAGACTTACCAAAACTTCACTAAGAGACGTAGTGTCTCCAAGATATTTATTATCGTTGTTGTTGTTGTGTGTATGATGTGTGATCATGCACATGCCACATACACCTGTGAAGGCCAGAGGACAGCTTTGTGGAGTTAGTTCTCTCCTTCCACCTTTATACGGATTCCAGCCATCAGACCCAGGTGACCAGCCTTGCAGAAAAAGCACCTTTACCCGCTGAGGCGCCTCATAGGCCCTACCTTCAAAGTTTTCAGTGGAAGGAAATATAAACGAATCAAGTTGGAATAAGGATGTAACACACTCAGTGGTAGAACCCTAGCCTATCATGTGACAAGACCCTGGTTTCCATAACCAGCATTGGAAAAAAATGTCAAAGCAGAAATTAGTGCTCTGATAAATATATTCATTTAAAATAATGAAATATGCCAGGTGTGGTGGTGCAGGCTTTTAATCCTAGCACTCAGGAGACAGAGGCAGGCAGATCTCTATGAGTTCAAACCCAGCTTTGTCTACATAGCAAGTTCCAGGCCAGCTGGGGCTACAAGGAGACCCTATCTCAAAAAAAAAAAAAAAAAAAAGATGATGAAGTATGCATAATTTCTTATTTGTATGTTCTTGTTATATTTGCATAATATGTAACAATATTAAAACCCTATATTAGGTTAGAAAATATCTAACTTATTTTCATTGAATTTATTTGTTTGTTGCAGTTCTGGAGATCAAACATAGGACCTTGCATTTGTTAATTGTTTGGTGGTAGCACTGCTACTGAGCTACATCCCCAACCCTTACTTTTTTGAAATAGAGTTTCACTATGCAGCTTGGGCCTGCTTTAGCGGCACACACCACCTAGCTGGCTCCTGACCTTTACAGTATGCTTCTTCACTAGTGCCTTTGGATTCCAGTATTTCTCTTTCCCTCTCCCTCTCCTTAGTAACTTGGACTGCTCCCATACTGTATTTAATAGCCACGGGAGGAGGTTTCTCTTTCCAGTGCAATCCTGCTATAGTTATGAGACTAACACCAACAAGTTGAGTGCTTTAGACATTTACTTTGTAGCCTCAGAAAGTAGTTTAGTGCCTGAGAGATGATAGGCGTTCTATAAATGATAACAGAAGTAAATGGAATTGATAGGTACCCTATTGCATCTACATCCTAAGAGATCTGTGAAGAAAGTAGGAACTTCAGGAAGGCCTCATAGACAAGTATAATCATTAATATGCCAACATGATAGTCTATAAATTTCAGCTTTATTGTATAACTGGGAGAAAATGAAAAAGTTCAGACAGGAAAGCAAAAGTTGCTATTTGTCATAAAAATCTAAAAGAGGAAGAAAAAAAATGTCCAAGAAGCTAGAGGAAGCCCATTAGTGTGATGGTAGGAAGTGTCGTTCGCAGGTTATGCAAATAAGCAGCTGTTAGAATAAAAAGGCAAAGTACCAGGAATCCAGAAAAGCTGTAAGGAGCTGAATGCCGCCTTTCTTCAAAGTGTGACCACAGATGCAGTCAAGGATGATGAGATGGTGGCTGCTGTGCCAGTGTTTTAAGCAGCAGCCCAGCTTAGTCTAAGAACATCTGCCTAGAAGCTCCCCAGGTAGAGGTTCACCCATGTTTGTGCATAAAATGCAGCTGCAAACTGTCCTTTCCTCTCTGATTAAAAGAGGGTGGGAAAACAAAGAAATGCAAGAAGCTAGATGCAGGCCTCTAAAACAAGGTCAGAACAGAAGTTTAAAGGAAACTAGAAAGAAAACATTTGTATAAAGTCAAGCTGAGCAATACTTTGCTTATTTTCAGTCAAGTTTATTGAGCAATATGTCCAGTATGGAGATTTGTTCAATAAAAGGCTTTGTGTGGGGCTGAAAATGTAGTGCAGCTGGTAGAGTGCCTGCTTAGCATGTACAAAGCCCTGGGTTCTATCCCAGAACTGCATAAAACACAATGTGTTGATGCATAAGTATGATCCCAGCACTGAGGAGGTAGATGCAGAAGCATCATAAAGTTCAAGGTCACCTTCTGCTGCAAAGTAGGTTCCAGGCAGATCTGTGCTACCTGAGGCACTGGCTCTCTCTCAAAAAAATATATATATATATCGTGCCCTTGAGAACCAGAGCTTTCATATGTCTTTAAGTATAAAGGAAGCTGTATTTAAGCTAAAACTGTAAATCACAATAACTCTGAACCCCACCTTTCAAATTACCAGTGTGCTAGCTAGTTGCTACTTCCCTTCTCTATTATGAAGGAGTCCCCAGGTATCCTAGCTACATTTCTTGTTGCCTAACACAAGCAACTTAGGGGGGAAAGGGTTCCTTGTAGCTCACAATTCCAAGTTCCGGCTCATCGTCAGGAAGTCAAGGCAGCAGGAACTTGCAGTGCCTAGCTACATTCACAATCAAGAGCAGAGAGAAAATGAAGGCATGTGCTTGTACTCAACTCACTTTCCCCACTCTTAGATAGTCTAGGACCCAAACCCAAAGAATGGTACCTCAATGGGCAGGTTCTCCTACCTCAATTAATGTAATCAAGACAATCCTACCTCCACCCCAACCTGCCCACAGGCCAGCCTGATCTGCACAAGCTCCTACCAGGTGATTCTAGATTGTGTCAAGTTGGCAATTAAAACTAACCATCACATCAGGAGGTACCACCACCCAAATACGCCTGAAATATCTGGATGTCTGAAATTCCTCCATACCTTTCTCTCTCCCTCTCTCTCCCACCCCCTCCCTCC